AAAAAAAAAAAAAAAAAAAGTACATATTATCCATTCCACAACTCCCTGCTACCAAAATCACATACACAAACACCACGGCGATTTTGCCAGGTTATTTCAGTAACAAACTCAGTTCTCATTTCTTTCGATAGCTACATCTTGATCCCAAGGGTAAGGTAACTGGACACAGGACCCCTGCCAAGAGTCCAGCCAGCTTCTTTTCCTCAGAGCACCTACACACCATTAGCCACCGTTGGCCACGGTGAACACGCACAAGGTTCCCAAGATTTTTCATAATGGAAAAAATCTCATGCTCCCCAGAACGTGAGCAGACATCCCAGGCTAGGGAAGCAATGCACAAGGTCTCCAGTTACACAAGGCAAAGGTGCCAGCCTTCCTGGGGGTGGCACATCCCACCCTCTTCCGCTTCCTCTGGCCTCATTGCGGGGATCAAAAGGGACCCACTGGCAGGCAACTCTCCAGGGGTGGAGGGTGGAGGGTAGAGGGTGGGGGCTGGCTCTGCCCCACGTACAGATTCAGGTCCTGGCCAGTTGCAACCCTCCAGCAGCCCCTCCCCATGAGACGCCTTGGGCGCGGCCGCCTGTGCTCTCCCTTTCTGCTATTGCTCTGGCAGAGCTAAAAAGGAAAACAGATTCTCAATTGGGAAAGAATTACGTCTTCTCTCTATTATTTTCTATCAAATTTGATAGAAAAAACCTATTAAAATGTTTCTACAAAACATAAAATAATTATGTTTTTTCTGGTGTTCTGTGAGGGAAAGAATCGTGTTTCTTCTATAAAATTGGTGTCTCTCAAAAACACTCAAGTCTCGGCACAGTAAAGATGTGATGTTGCTCACTGCCCGTCCCCCATTGGCGACGGTAAGATGTGGCGGCCACCAGGTGATCCCACCCAGGACACCCAGCAGTCAGCCATGTGGCGTTTCATTCTCTCACCCACCAACATCTGCAGAGAGGAAGCCATGGAGAGTGGTCTTGGAGAAACAGTTCAAAGGACTCTGCCAAGTAACTGGAACATCCAAGCAGGGGTGGGGCACCCAAATTATGAACTCATACCACGGGTACCTTCCACCTACAGAAGCAAAGGGAGCACTTCAGCTCTGAGGCCCCCACACCAACTCACAGCTCACAGTTAACCGTGGGAGTCACGGCTGCCACAGGCCATGAACAAGAGTCATGGGTTTTACCATCAAAGCAAAACCTTTTGAAATAATATGACAAATATTAATATTAGCCAAAGTGTCAATACCTATATGAGATTCCCTGCCTTTTAACATCCAAATGTGACCATGTGTGAGATGCCTTCAAAGTCCAATGACACATAGTCATTTGTTTTTTAGTTTTTAATAACTAATTTGGCTCATTATAAAAGCAATATACAATCATTATAGAAAATTTGGAAAATACAGAGAAAGTGTTAAAAGATTATTAAAATCACCCTTAAGCACTCCACTAGAAATACATCCAAGATATACCAGATTTCCTTTTTCCTTCCAATCTTGTTTCTTTTTTTTGAGAAGGGGTCTCACTCTGTTGCCCAGGCTGCAGTGCAGTGGCACAATCACAGCTCACTATAGCCTCAACCTCCCTGGCTCAGGCAATCCTCCTGCCTCAGCCTCCTGAATAGCTGGGACTACAGGCATGCACCACCATGCCTGGCTAATTTTTGTATTTTTTATAAAAAATACAAAATTTTGCCAGATTGCCCAGGCTGGTTTCAAACTCCTGGGCTCGAGCAATCCACCGGCCTCAGCCTCCAAAAGCACTGGGATTATAGGCGTGAGCCGCCGCACACGGCCTCATCCTCTTTCTACGGAGATAGGTGTATGGCAAACGTGTGTTTGTTTTATGGTTTAGCTTTTGTTCATTTTGTTAGGACCCAAATTTCAATCCTGCTCCTGGGAGGTTCCATGAACTGTGAAAGCCTTGGCGGGAGGAAGCCCAGCTCGGCCGCCCAGAGCCTGCGCCTCAGCCAAGTCCTGCTTCCTCCTGGTGTCGGGCACGGTGACGCTGATGAAGTCACACATGACTGGGTTTTACAGTGGGAATCACACTCTACCGTGGTGTTTGGGATCAAGGAAAGCCTCGGAGCGCATCCTTCACAAATGCCAACAGCCAAGTGTCATTGACGTGAGGGTTTTTTTCTCCTTGAGTCTTGCTGCTATTCTTTCCAGTCATATCACGGCAACAGAGAAGCACATAAATCTTCTGTGCTATTCGTCATAAAGAGCAAGTGTCAAGGCAGCAAACTGTATAAACACAGCTGGTACACAGTAAAACTATTTAGATAACTGATGTATTTATTTTGTTATTTCATATCCCATACTATAATAGTACCTAGGACATGTTGAATGCAAGACGAATATTATTAACTGGGACATTGAAATAATTTCTGCAGACCCAAAAGAAAGTGCCAGCAATATAATGGAAAACTATAAAATTATACTATGTGAAACTGATATAGAGAGAAAAAAATTAAATCTCTGAAGAACAACTTTATAGTTCTAGGATTCTGTATGCCAGGCAGCGTAGCTCAGCAGCGACACCCTGTGGCGGGAGATCTTTGATTCCCAGCAACAAAGGCACTGGAACAATGCAGGCCCAGGCATCCAATCCCTAAGGCAAGCGTGAGCTGAATGGACAGGCGGATTTAGCAGATGACTGGGTGCCAAGATCCTTCCATGAAACTTAATTCCATGGGGATGATTGAGAACTGTTGAGCAGGGATGCCGGAAAGAAAGCCAAAGGCAAAGTACAAACCCAACTCCACTCCCAGTCTCTGTGGTCCAGGTCTGTAAACACTGACCCACAGCACAGTGACTGGATACAGGAGGAACTCGGCCCTCTCTGGAAAGACCATCTCAATCAGTGTAGATCCACGTTCAAACTCATTTGCACCATCATCCTTTAGATAACTTCTATTCCAAGAAAACATCAGATAGAACCCTGAATTCTGCCATTTCCTTCTATAGCAGATTCAAGGTCATCTAAGCAGAGTTAATAAACTCTGAGCTTGTAATCCCAACCATGTAAGGGACGCTCTGAGCTCCTGGGACAGAGAGGCAAACAAAAGCCACACCATTAATTCCAAAGAGCATCCATCAAACCAGTGCAAACTGGCTAAAGACTGGATGAAAGTATAATAAGAGAAAGTTTCTTAAATAGAAGAAAAAAATCAGGCTGGGCGCAGTGGCTAACACCTGTAATTCCAGCACTTTGGGAGCCCAAGGCAGGCAGATCACCTGAGGTCAGGAGTTCGAGACCAGCCTGACCAACATGGAGAAACCATGTCTCTATCAAAAATACAAAATTAGCCAGGTATGGTGGCGCATGCCTGTAATTGGAGAGTGAGGCAGGAGAATCACTTGAACCCTGGAGGCAGAGGTTGCAGTGAGCCGAGATTGCACCAATGCACTCCAGCCTGGACGACAAGGGCGAAACTCCATCTCAAAAAAAAAAAAAATCATTCATTACTATATTATTCATTTTTTAAATTAAAAACATACCTGTAGTCTTTTAAAACAAGGTAACAGGCACTTGTTAGGCACATTACACACATTTAACTCATTCAACCCCAACAACGTAATAATAATTGCACTATCGTCTAAATAATACAATTTATGCAGAACTTTCACATATATTATTTCATCTAGTCCTCAAATAATCCTATAAGATATTCCAATCCTAAATGCTCTCAGATTTTCTATCTGTCTTCTCCAAGTGAGCCCATCATACCCGGACAGCTCATAGCTCTGCTCTTCTCCAAAAACTAAGGGACACAGTGTAACACAAAAGAAACTGCCCCCTTTTTAAAAAATGTTGGGGTGAGAGGTAAAATTTGTTCGGTTCAAGAGAAAGCAGGTAAGTTTGGTGTTTTTTTGTTTTTTTGAGATGGAGTCTCGCTCTGTTGTACAGGCTGGAATGCAGTGGGGCAATCTAGGGTCACCACAACGCCCGCCTCCCAGATTCAAGCAATTCTCTCCCTCAGCCTCCCAAGTAGCTGGGATTACAGGCACCCAACACCACATCCAGCTAATTTTTATATTTTTAGTAGACATGGGGTTATGTTGGCCAAGCTGTTCTTGAACTCCTGACCTCGTGATCCACCCACCTGGTCCTCCCAGTTTGGTGTTTAAAGTCACCAAGACTATTGAGTGTTTGCAGAAACTACATGGTTACGTCATTAAACTCACAAATTTGTCTGCTCAGAGAAGACAACAGAAATAGACAAAATAATTTGTCAAAACGACTACGAAACTGACAGCATGGCCAAGCAAGGGGAATTAGCAAGAACACACACCTGGGGAATCTGGCGACCTGCCCAAAACCAGGTATCAATCACAGGCAGCAAGTGCAGGCACCAGCCGAGAGGATTCCCGAACACATTCCCAGCTCCATGGGCATTTTCCTGTTAGACACGACTCACAGATGTGAACTGAAACTCGGAGCGCAGTTGCCACAAGATGGCAGACATGAGCACAAATGTGATTGGTCTGCCGACAGCAGCCCCAATCAAAACAAATGTTTTCACTCCCAAATGAATAAAATGACGGTTTCTAAATATACTTTTGACACGGGACCCTCCCCCACCCAACGTGGAAAGGGCCACACCTGCGGACTTCACACCTTTCTAAGCTCTACTAGTCGTACCTCCCTTACACGTAATGCTCCCCCCGCAAAATGAATACTTGCACATCTTGAAGATGATTTTCAAACCCGAAGTCAAAACGGAAATGAAAAATCAAAATCAAAACCAACCAAAATAAAACAATGAAAGGCAACCGGTCGCCACTGTGAAGAGGGCCCCATTGCGGTGCACTCTGCCCAGCTGAGCCCACAACTTACCTCCGCAGCTGACAGCAAGTAAAGAGGCGTTAAGGCAGGAACCTGTTTCATGTCACAGCTGAGGCCGAGGGTCGTCAGGATCTCTCTAAGGACTTCGTACCTTCTAAAATTGCTTGACTTGAGCAAGTTAAAATCTTCTGGAGTTTGCACGATATCAGAGCTGGGAGGTAGTTCTAAGTGCACCTGAAAGGAAAGACAACACTGTAAACTGGGGGCACTCACGGGCAGTAAGAAAAACAGTTTTTCATTTTTTTTTTTCTTTTTTTAATTTAGAGACAGGATCTCATTATGCTGCCCAGGCTGGTCTTAAACTCCTGGGCTCAAGCGATCCTCCCGCCTCAGCCTCCCAAAGTGCTGGGATTACAGACAGGTATGAGCCACCATGCCTGACAAAAAAATTTCTTTACCAGTTTTCTTCTCCAAGTGAGCACATCACACCCAGATAGCTCATAGCTTTGCTCTCCTCTGAAAATTAAGGGACACAGTATAATCCAAAAGAGAAAACCCAAACATGAATTTTTCTAATTATCAATAGCATATAAACTCTGAAGCTGAATATCTGGAAAGTCATGGCCAACAAGAAAATGTTTCCAAAAGCCTACTAAAATTGTGATTGGCTGGCTGGGTGCGGTGGCTCACGCCTGTAATCCCAGCACTTTGGGAGGCCAAGGTGGGCGGATCACCTGAGGTCGGGAGTTTGAGACCAGTCTGACCAACATGGAGAAACCCGTCTCTACTAAAAATACAAAAATTAGCTGGGTATGGTGGTGCATGCCTGTAATCCCAGCTACTCAGGAGGCTGAGGCAGGAGAATTGCTTGAATCTAGGAGATGGAGGTTGTAGTGAGCTGAGATCACGCCACTGCACTCCAGCCTGAGCAACAAGAGTGAAACTCCATCTCAAAAACAAAAACAAAAACAAAAAAAATTCACGGTTGTCAGGCTGAGAGGTCATGGTGGAAATGACCCTGGACGGTCATCTCTCTCCAGGTACTGATGTTCCACACTCATCAGTCATGTGACCTTCTGCAAGTTACTGAACTTGGTTATAGGAACAAAATATCTAGAAAGACAATTGTGCTGAAAACCTAATTGCAAGTGAGTTCAAGGAGGCAAATGAGTCATGCCAGAAACTTCCATTTGACCTATTAGCCATAACTGGAAAATAAAACTGGGGAACAGGGCAGCCTTATTCATCATTTTAAGGGAGTTTGCAAGAGACTGGGCTCATACCTGTAATCCCAACACTTTGGGAGGCAGAGGTGGGAAGATTGCTTAAGCCTAAGAGATTCAGACCAGCCTGGACAACATAGTGAGGCCCTCGCTCTACAAAAAATACAAAAATTAGCCAGGCATGGGTGGTGTGCCTGTAGTCCCCACTACTTGGGAGGCTGAGCTGGGAAGATCCCTTGAACCCAGGAGGTTGAGGCTGCAGTGAGCTATGATCATGCCAGTGCACTCCAGCCTGGGCAACAGAGTGTGACCATCTCAAAAAAAAGAAAAAGAGTTTGCAGGAACTCAAATACAGCAGGTCCTTGAATAATGTTGTTTCACTCAAAGTCATTTAGTTATGAAGTTGATAAGGGGAAAAAGAAAATCACTTCCCCGCTGGGGCTACAGTCTGTGTGGGTCTGCACATTCTCCCCACGTCTGCACGGGTTTTCTCTGGGTCCTCCGTTTTCCTCCCACATCCCCAAGCTGTGCACGTGAGTGCACGGACGTGTCTGCATGGTCTGAGAAGTGTGGGTGCGGGTATGAGTGTGTCCTCCCATCCCGGCCAGGACTGGCTCCCCACCAGTGCCCTGAGCTTCCAGGATGAGCTCCAGCCACCCGGCCGCCCACCATGCTGAACCGAAATAATTAGGGAAATAATTATCTTATGTTTTTATTAATCTTTCTTAAATGTACATATAACTCATATTTATTTCAATGTTTCAGTGTTTAGGCCTTTATTTAGAAGTTAGGTGATGTCTTGGGGACAGAAATATGCCATGGGAACTGACTTCTTGTTTGTATCAATTAGCCTATGGTAACACTGGCTTCATTATATGTCATTTCACTTAAGTGTGCCGTTTCCAAGAACCTATCAACAACTTTAAGTGAGGACTTACTGAGGAAGGAGGAGTAAGATTTCTTGGACACCAGAAAGGCCTTTCCTGCCACCCTCCTTCCCCTGAGTGAATTTTAAGACTTGGAACTTCACCTCATGACTTCAGGCTTTGTTGTCTAGTTAAAATTAAAATTAAAATTAAAATGTCTCCACCTATCAAGTCTCTGTCATGGTATGAAGGAACTTACTGGAACCTCTAGCTCCCCTGAAATCAGATTTTAAATGAGCATTGGAGCCCAGAGGTTGCCAGAACACTGAGTACCCAGAAAAGCAAACTGAGCTCCTTTGCCTTATTTTGTTTTGGCTTTGCCGACTGTATGCAAAGCTTCTAGCCTGATATTATAGAAGTACTATGAAAATAGAAAAGCATAGTGCCAGCTTTCAGACCACTTAAAATCTCTCAACTCCTACCCACGACTTAACCAAGCCAAATATATCAACCAAATGTTAAAAGTTGAGGCCTGGCTGGGTGTGGTGGCTCACGCCTATAATCCCAGCACGTTGGCAGTCTGAGGCGGGAGGATCACTTGAGGCCAGCAGTCAGAGACCTGGCCAACACGGCGAAACCCCATTGCCACGAAAAATATAAAAATTAACCAGGTGTGGTGGCACATGCCTGCAATCCCAGCTACTTGAGAGGCTGAGGCACAAGAATCACTAGAACCTGGGAGGCAGAGGTTGCTGTGAGCTGAGATTGTGCCAGTACACTCCAGCCTGGGTGACAGAGCGGGACTCTGGCTCAAAAAAATAAAAGTTGAGTCCAATCAGAAAAGGTCTGCAGGTCACTGCCCAACATGGTCCCCAAACCACCAGCTGGTCAGCTGCGGCTACAGGCTGGCTGCTTCCCCGAAGACTGAGGACGCCGATCGGTCACGTGTGTCTGTTCTCTAGATAGCCCTGGAGACAGGGAGAGGCAGAAAAGCAAAACCCTCTAAGGAATCGTATCCTACTCAGTTGCTTCTACCCTAAATGTGCACCTCTCTTCTCCGGTGGACAAAGCCATGCCAGTGTAGACAAAAAGCACAGCGACAAGACCCATTTAATTCACAGGAGCACATGGCTATCCCGGAGATTAACCCTTACGGGTGGCAGAAATGAAATAAGTCAAGTTCCGTTCCCACCAGAGCCGAAGGGATGAGAGGGGTACACGATTGAATGCATCTGGGCTCACTGGGCAGGGCGAATACACACAGTATCCAAGGCGCACACACCATGAATTGTGTGAACTCATTTTCACATGAGAAAGATGCCAGGATGGGAAACTGGATGCACTACAAGGGGGCCGAGTCCCAGGAGACCAGGAGGAAGACAGCCGCTGAAACCCCAAGGGCTGCTTTGCTTCACTGTCTTACGGTTCCAAGATGTAGGCGCTTCTACAATGCAAACAAGAAAAGAGGCCGTCTCCAGTTCTGCACTCCCAATGAGCAGGGAGACGTGGTACGCCGGAGTGTGTGGGTGGTAGATTTGAGCTCCTCATCCACAGAGGTACTGGACTAGAGTCTCATCCTCTGGGTGTAATCCTGTTACCATAATGACAGGTCTATTTCTGTAACTTGGCTTCTTCTAAAAGTTAAGGCTTTTTAGTTGGGCCAAAGACCAGAACTAAAAAAATGTCTCCATGCACAAATAGGGAGAGAGAGTGGTACTGGCATCTAGTGGGTAGAGACCAGGAATGTTATTCCGCAGCCTAAAATGCAAGAGACTGCCCCTCACCACCAAGAATTCTCAACCCAAAATGTCAGTACTGCCATGTTTGAGAAACTCTGCCATAAAAGCCAACCCACTGCGACCATGTGCTAAGCTAAACAAAACAAAATCTTCCAAAATCCACGTTAGGGATTTTCTGTGGACAACTTCATGGCAAACTCCTGGTCCATTTGACACTCAAATGTCAGCATTAATCCACAGCCTTAAGTTTTCCCTGCAAACTTGATCAGCACACAGCGAGCGTACAAACATTTCCTCTCTTTCTTTATTATTACGAATGGCAAAGGCATCAAATCTGCAACTTACTTGACTGTGACACCACTGCCTAGGGTGCAGCTGTGTTCTGCCCTTGAAGTTCTTTACCTCCTCTTATTGGGTTACATCATCACTAGATTTATTACAAAGACGAAGGCTATGAAATTGAACGGGGTAAGAGGAAACTAACCAGCCTGTGATAATATTTATTTTTTAATCCCAGTAAGGTATCACAGAGACACAGGCCTGTGGAGAAAACAGTGACCCTGTCACACAGAAGACTGGAAGTCATTTAAAATCAGAAATGGCATTCTAATCCTCTGAGTCTGATTTGTGAAGCTTCATCATATTGCCTTTTTCTTCTAGGGCAATGCACTGCAGTATCAAATTTTATGACAGCAATGGGGTCAATTTAAATGGTGCAGCAAGCAGATTTGCTCTGTAACTCAGAGAAATGGATCGCAACAGTGCCAAATCAATTTTCTAGTACACGTCTGTGCTCAGGGGTGGTAAAATTCGCTCTTCAAAACTGAAATACGGCTCTAGGAAGTCAGGTTTTTAAGTGGATTTTCTGAGAATACATAGTTACTATAGTTACCATATTTGCAGATAAAAAGATAAGAGGAACATTTATTAGGCCTCCAAAAGCTAATTCATGCGGTCTGCAGCCCTGCAGGAAACCTGCCTGGGCTGTACACATTCACCTGTCCTAATGTCCTAATTCCTCAATTTTAAGCATCTCTACTTGAGTATTATCTTAAGAACAAGTGAGTCGGTTTTAGAATTGTAAAGAAACAAATATATACTCCCTGGAAAAATGTGTGGCCAGAAAAATCAAGAGACTTCGCTTCCAGGAGAACTGGAAAAAGTCAAAGCATTACAGAAATGAAAACAAAACAAAAAAGTAAACAATTCTCTAACTCAATAAAAAGATCCCTATAATAAAACAAATCTATTACACTTATCTTGGGAACTCTTCTGGACAAAATATCTGCATCTGCTTAGTTTTCTCATTAGAGCATCAAATCCTTAAAGGCAAGTGAACGTTCATCTAACTCAAATGAAAACCTTTTCCCCTAAGCATTAAAAGATTTGGAGTAAATAATTAAGAATTCTGAAATAGTCTATTAGCTACTGTTTGCTTAAAAAACAAAAAGCTAAAAGGAAAAAGAAGAT